TCTTTGCGTGTGAGAAACACAGCACTCTCAGCAAAGCGACGGCGAGTCGTGCGCCTTCACACTAGAGTTTACGGTGCGTCAAATACAGGTGTGCTGCGCATCCATTGAGATGAACTGAAAAACATCACAGAGAGAAACTCTGAAGCGCTCAGTCAGAGTGAAAATATATCTGTGCTAAACTTACACTTAGCCTCCAACTCAGACACTGGCGAGCAAAATCTAAGAATTTATTAGCCAATGGCTAACGATAGACATCATTTAGTCGCCCAGAGTGAATATTTAGTCGCTACTCGCATTGTAGAGGGTTGTGAAGATGCTGTAAACATTAATATTATGATTTTCTGTAAAGCTGCCTTGGAATAATGCATATTGTAAAAAACGCTACACAAATAGATTTTGACTAGACTTTATGAAGTAGCCCATCCTTTCTTACTAAAAGCATTAAACTATTCTGCTCTTTAAATGAGTCGAGTGTTCAAAAGCAGCATGTCTCTCACCTGTATACATGTGCCTGTGTGTTCACGGCACAGGCCACAGGACAAGGCCCAGCGACTGGCTGGGATGTGGGATACTTTAGTAATAGGTTCCATCTTCTCAGGGCAGCCAATGCTCACCTTTGATGACATGGAAACAACACAAGTCAGAAAACACCCAGTTAACACATCGAAAAGTACTATAAGTGATCGGATTAGGGATGGCTGCAGGTGAGTCAACAAGTGAGTAAAGCTAAATTTCCTGATCTGGTTCTGAGGGCATAATGACAAAACATTCTTAAGAATACATTTTCTTAACTGATATTTTCTTCTTATTTTCTACTACCCACAAATGAATGCAATGGATCACTCCATCTTGAGACAGTCTCATTAAAAGTACCCATTCAAAAAAACATTAAATGCACATTAAAAATGCAACGCTGAGTGCTGAACACCCGTCAAGCTGGTCACAATGAAATAGTGTGCACACTTAATATGATTATTTTGGTAATCTGAAAAAAATTGAAGTGTTTTTCATAGAGCTCAGGGCTTGAATTTTGGCATGGGATTGTGGGTATTGCACATAATTCTACTCACTCCCGCAGGTTCCATGCTTATAATGTGGGATATTCATACTACAGAAAGTGGTAACACTTTAGTTTAGGGACCAATTCTCACTATTAACTAGTTGCTTATTATCATGCTTATTAGTAACATATTGGCTGTTTATTAGTACTTATAAAGCACATATTCTGCATGACCATATTCTACATCCCTAATCCGACCCAATACCTAAACTTAACAACTACCGTACTAACTATTAATAAGCAGCAAATTAGGAGTTTATTGAGGGAAAAGTCATAGTTAATGGTTTGTTAATAGCGAGAACTGGACCTTAAAATAAAGTGTGCCCAAATTGAGTTATGTTTCGCGCCTTATTGCGCATAAACGGCCAAATACATACAAAATTATGTCAAAATGCCCATCAACACAAATTCACGTAATCACAGTCGGTTTATATTAAACACAGTCGGTATAAAGGCTATTTTAAGTGAATGTAAACAGTTGAGAAGCAAAACGCACGTGTAACAGTACATTAGATCTGTGTGTGAGGTCTTAAAGAGACAGCAGCCTAAATAAACCTGCTGCTTCTGTGTCATAAATATTTATTTTTACAGTGAAGACTATCCAGTGTTACTTTACAGTTGAATAGATTATCCAATTTCTGTAGTACTTCTGTACCTGAATATTACAGCAAAGCAGTTAATTTCATTTGTATCTTGCTATAGTATTTGTTTGTGCTATTGCTTGTCATTAATTAGTTCTTTTTTTTATTACCGACTGTTTACTTTAGCTTTTTTAGTTAAAATAAATTAAATTCAGAGTTTGAAATCAAAGTTCCTTGCGCTGTGTGTAAGCTATTGTGCAAAAAAAATTGTTATTAAGTATAATTAAGTATATTCCTAACGATGTAAATATGAGTCAACACATAATTATAAACTGTAAGACTGAGTGATGAAACATTTAGGTTAGATGATCATTTAAAACGAGTCTTCAGCAAGAACCGCCATTCATTCAGTCAGATAACGCAGAAAAAATAAGATGTTCAAAAGAACATAGTTGAGAACTTCTAAAGAATATTTCAAGAATTGCACTTAGGAGCATTGTTATGAACTTCTTGGTATTTATCTTTTAATTTTCTTAAGGTGACTCGCAAGCTCTAAATTAAATAAAATTTGATTCGATTCCTAATTTCAGGTAAAAATATTTCAGTTATAACGAATGTTTAAATCAATACATTGTACATAATCATTTTTTACGTTGTATGTATATAAAGACTGTAAAAATGCTATGATAAAAACCTGTTAATTAGTTAACAGTACGTTCCCTTGCTATTTAAGGTGAAAAAATGTAATCTGATATTTAATGCAATTTTATTGCAAAGTCATCTTATAATTTACAATAATAAAAATATAAATCAATATGTTAAAGGTACAAAACAGATTTTAGAAATTTGCTAATTCAGCAGAAAAGGGTTGTTGGAGTCACTGGTGCGTGGGCTTTTTGTTTTACAGTTTTAAACACTGGCTCACTTTTTCCACATTTGCATATTTCTAAATATTTAACATGCAAAGCTTAAATCATGGTAAGGGAATCAATAACAAGTAAATAAAAACTAAATAAAAGTACAAAATAAACTTTAGTTAGTCTAGGGGTATGATTTACACACTGAATGGTGAGGTAATATTGTAGCAATTATTCAAAAAATAAATAAATAATATAAGTATAATTACTTAACATACTGAATTAGTATATTATCATTTAATAATACCCAGAATGGTCACACTTTAGTTTGAGGAGCAATTCTCACCATTAACTAACTATTAACTATGACTTTTGCCTCAGTAAACTCCTAATATGCTGCTTATTAATAGTTAGTAATGTAGTTGTTAAGTTTAGGTATGGTGTGGATTAAAGGAGACATATTATGCCCCTTTTTACAATATGTAATATAAGTCTCTGGTGTCCCCAAAATGTGTCTGTGAAGTTTCAGCTCAAAATACTCCACAGATCATTTATTATATAATTTTGGTGATCTAGAATATGGTCATGCAGAATAAAACATTAATATGTGCTTTATAAGTACTAATAAACAGCTAATATGTTAGTAATATGCATGCTAATAAGCAACTAATTAATAGCGAGAATTGGTCCTTAAAATAGTGCTACCCTACACTGTAAAAAATGCAACTGCATATTTTCCAATTTACGAAACATTTACGAAAAAAATGCTGTTTTATTGAAACTACATAAAAACCATTAGAAATACCCCAAATGTTGTCCCAACGCTACCCTACACTGTAAAAAATACAACTGCATATTTTCCAATTTACGAAAAAAATGCTGTTTTATTGAAACTACATAAAAACCATTAGAAATACCCCAAATGTTGTCCCAACTAATCAAACACAGTTGTCTGAACAAAGAATTTCATATTGCTGAAATGTTAAGGCTTTGTGAGAGTTCCCAGCATGCATTGCAGGCAGCATAAATAAATTATGCAGTTACTGTTATAGGATTATTGTTTTGCTGTTTGCTGACTTCATTTAAACTTTTTTGTTGTGGTTTTGTCTAGGGTTGCAAAAAGGTGGAAATTTTCCAGTAAATTTCGGAAATACTCCAGAAACTATTTTTTTTGGAATATTCCAGGGATTTTTGGAAAGTTTACGAAAATTTACCGGAAATTTTCCACCCCTTTGCAACCCTAGTTTTGTCATTATTGTTAGTTATTTGTTGTGCTGTGATGTAAAGAGCTCAACACTCAGACCAAGTTATCCAACATTTCCCAGTTTGTCATTTGTAAATAAACATTAAAATGATAACGTGGTGACTTTTTACACATTTTTTTTTTCATTTAGGAAACAGAAAAAAATGTATTACCTCAACAACAGTCATTGTTGCTTCAGTTGCTGTGACAAACATTTTTCAATCAGCATTGCATGAACAAATAAATTTATGTTGGCTAAACAAAGTATCTTTCCTGAAAAGAACTAAAAAACTATTGTTGAGACGACTCAAATGTCTTACTGCACCTTTTTTTTTTTTTTACAGTGCAAGAATAAATGTAAATTATTACTGAATAAATGTAGTTGCATCGGGTTCCATTGTATTTTGTGATTTCACTGGTTTAATCTGAAGATGTAAGATGCACAATGAGCGCCACTTTCAAATCTGAGCTGCATGGCGAGTCTCACGAAGCTTGTCAAGGACTTGTTTGGCATTGTGACACAAACACATACTGTACAGTATTTCGCCCTAAAGTGTTGGAGGTGAAATCGAAGGGAACGGGGCGGTGTAGCACTGAATTCACAGCGTCTGGAAGACGTCGCTCAGCAGCAGCTCGTGTGCTCGGCTCAGTTTATTCATCAGATTTCTGTGAGCCTTTTCACTCGCTTTTGTGGCTCTCTACATCCCTGTCATTCTGCCATTGTTACCGCCTCACTCTTCAGCTTCTGTAAGCGTTATTGAAATACCCATTTTGACCAGGCTTTTCAAAATTCCCTCTTTGAATCCTTCTCATCCCGTCACTTCTGCTTTTGTCCTCCTTTGACTGAAACATTCAGCATCCTTCTGCACGTGAAACAGGGCGCTCCTTTACAAAAACATCTTGCCCTCCACCTGACCGAACAAGTTCAAATTTCCGGCTGAAAAGCTTTCCTTTTAATCACGCGACGAGACATAAAGAGAGCAGAGGAAATATTTCAATTAGAATTCATCCATTATTGCATGCTAATTACAAGTTTCCTCCGTCAAACATAAAAGAATTTTTAAAAAGTAATTTTCAGTTTATATTTCAAAATTCTGACTTTTTTCCTCACAATTCCGAGGTTATAGCATACAATTCTGATAAGAAAAATCAACGCGTCATTCTCTCTCTTTTCCCCTCGGCTCAGAATCATGAGTTTATATCCCACACTTTTAGCTTTTTTTTCTCTCAGAATTGACAACTAGCAATTGTTGAGTCAAACTGAATTATAAAGTCCGAACTAGGAGATATAAACTTGCATTTGCAGGAAAAAAGTCAGAATTGTGAGATAAAATAGGTAAATGTTATAGCTTTAAATAGTAGTCCATTTCATACCGTAACTGTAGGGCTAATACAATATGTCCCCTATGAACTGCATATGTGAATATTATGTAGACCTATTGTTTAAATTTGTTTTAGTTTGTTTTAGTTTATCAGTTTAAACATCTGCGTTTAGCTTCAAATGGCGTCTTTGACGACAGTATTATATAAAAATAATTTGCATTCTGATTCTGACATCCAAAGGCACAATACATTTTTTCTCTTATTCCATCGATTTTTCCCGTTTCCACTTGTTCCCAGTGTTTTTCTGCAAGTGACATAACTGTGTACTCCAAATTGGTCTATACCTCTGTTTGCCTAGTTAATATAAAAAAAAAAAGGTATTTTTTTATTTGGGCTAGTTAAATTAATTTTCGGGCTACCAAAATCTGAAGAGTACCTGCCCGAAGGGCTACCAGGGATTTAGAAATTTTGCGAGCCCTGATATATATTTATAATCCAAAATGGAAAAACGCAGAAAATACAGAGATACTGTATATCGCAATTCAGCAAAAAAAAAAAAAAAAATTTCTGATTCTAATTGTCTGACATTCAAACAGTTTTAGGGAAAAATATTAGGAAAATTAGAAAAAGCAAATTGCAAGCGAGAGTCTGTAATCATGCTGTCCATAGTCGACAGCACAAACATGCACACCGTCCTTTTAAACGTGTGTCTCATCACACATTAGAGCAGGTGCATGCGTCTCAAACGCAAGCTATTAACAGCCAGCGTTTACATTATATATATATGATTACAACTGAATGATTTCACATGCACGCTGCCTTTTCATGTTAAACTTTGTAAAGAATGAGCCAAAATGTAGCAGTTTTTGCTCATACTTGAATCCTGGATTTCGTCGTATTCGATACCCAGACCCTCCTCGGTCTCGATGGCCTGCTGCATGTTCTGCTGACACCTGTTCTCCAGCTCCACAACAACCTGCTCCATGGTGAGTTCGTCCAGCTCTGGAAGTGCTGCGACACGCAAAAGAAACCGCCTTGTGTTTATGGGTTTCTGCCACATTAGTAGGGCCCTATGATATCCGCGATGTGGAAAACAAACACACAAATAAAACTCTTCACGGCAACCCGTCAAAATAAAAGTTCAGTTTAACTTGAAGAAATTGTGACAAAATATTAGCGCTGTCAAACAATTAATCGCATCCAAAATAAAAGTTTTAGTTTACATTTCTCCAGTGACTGTTCAAATGTATTTGAAGTCTGAAATCATTCATTCAAGAGATTCGTTCAAAAAATCTTCATTCATTTATTTCAAATTATTTTTTAAATAATGAATTCATTTGAATTTATAAGGATTTTTAAATAGACTCATTTATAACATTTTAGACATTTATAAATAGACTCATTTATAATATTAAATAAAACATTTTGTCGGAACCTCAAGTAAATTAGACTACATATTATTTTGTTTGGTTGTCTAATGTTTTGTTTTCAGAATCGTGGGAGAACCGTGATCTCCATTCAAAAAATAAATTATCCAGAGTCATAACTAAAAAAATACATTATATATCTGGCATCTAACTAATGCTATTAGTACTGTTTCTACAAGGATTTGGTACAATTACAATGCATTATAATGCCGCTTCTCATCCAGTGTGCGAATTCTGCAAACAACCCCCTTCTAGAACCAATTCCCCCGCCTAATAAAATCATTATTAAAACGTTATTTTTATGGAATAATCACACAAATGTTCTTCCATGTTTTAATTAATTTTAACAGTAAACCTCTGCTGTGCAGCACTTTGTTTGACAAAAAAATTAAAGGGTTTGTTTAATTTAATTACATTTTGTTTAATTGAATTTTGTTTGCCATCATTTGATTGCTAGAAAAATAAAAAAAACACAAAAAAATTCTAAGGAAAAAAAGGGTTTTATTAAAATTTAAACCATTTAAATGGCAGAATAAAATTGAAATGGAAAACACAGAATTTGGTTAAAAAAAAAATTTAACAGAATTTGAGAGAAAATAAAATGTATTTCATAGGCCCATAAAAATGTGATTTTTGTTCAACTTTTAATAAACGACTGTTAACTTGTATAAGTTTTATGATTTAAATTAATTAGACATGCTTTTTAAATCATTACATTTTAATTAACCATTAAAAATTAAAATAAAAAAAATGGAATCCAGAAAAATTAAAATGGAAAAAAAAGAAGAAAATAAATTTGGAAAAAAACTAAAAAAGGATTTTATAGGGCCCTACTTTAGCACAGCGAAGATGAAAAAGAGAAGATGGATGAAATCGTGACATATCATAGTCCAGACTTGAACCTGTGAACTTCTGCTCAAACATGATAGAAATTACAACTAAATCAGGGCTTTATGCTTATTTATTTCTCAAGGAGCACATGCCCTTCTAAGTTTAAAAAAAATTAAAAGTATATCTCACAATTCTGATTTTATTTCTGGCAATTGCGAGTTTATATCCCGCAATTCAGAATTGCGAGAAAAAAAGTTTTCTCTTACTTTTTTTATTTTTTATTCCATATGTTACCACTTCTAAAAACAGAAAACGCAAAAATAAAAACTAATTTTAAATATTAATAAAAACTATAACAGTATCTCAATGATTACTCAATGATATCTCTTTTATTGGCCTGTTTACAATAACAACCTCAAGAGAAACATGATTCAGATAGTTGATAAATCTTACCTAGCTGTCTGAATTCAGTATTAACCAGTTCAAGCCAGGTCACATCCAGATCATCCAGATCGTAAGAGCTCAACGGCTCAGGGAGACCATGTGACTCTCCGAAGCCAAACTCTGACTGGCCCCTGGTTTGGATCGGTGAAAAGAATGGGATTCGATTGACCTCCGGAAGCATCCTGGGAAAAAATTAAAAGTATATCTCACAATTCTGATTTTATTTCTGGCAATTGCGAATTTATATCCCGCAATTCAGAATTGCGAGAAAAAAAGTTTTTCTCTTACTTCTTTATTTTTTATTCCATATGTTACCACTTCTAAAAACAGAAAATGCTAAAATAAAAACTAATTTTAAATAATAAAAACTATAATAGTATCTCAATGATTACTCAATGATATCTCTTTTATTGGCCTGTTTACAATAACAACCTCAAGAGAAACATGATTCAGATAGTTGATAAATCTTACCTAGCTGTCTGAATTCAGTATTAACCAGTTAAAGCCAGGTCACATCCAGATCATCCAGATCGTAAGAGCTCAACGGCTCAGGGAGACCATGTGACTCTCCGAAGCCAAACTCTGACTGGCCCCTGGTTTGGATCGGTGAAAAGAATGGGATTCGATTGACCTCCGGAAGCATCCTGGGAAAAAATAGCACGCTTGAATGACCACAAAACTCATGCATCAAGTATTCAAAGGAATGTTTCAGCTTCAAGTGAAGCTCAACGGACAGGATTTGTCACATAATATACTTGATCTTTGATGCTGAGTGAAATACTGAGAGATCCAGATGTGAATGTGGCGAGTTTAAACGAGTTTAACAATAACAACACATTAATATGGATCGTGCACTGAGAAATGTAATTTTCCTTCAACTTTAGACATATAAGAGAGCATATGTATCTTGAGCAGCTGTTCTTGTACAATAGGGGTGTTTCATTCTAGTTAGGTATTTTAGTTCAAATGTTTATTTATTAATTAATTTATTTTTTTAAGTTAAGGCAATCGGTTCAAGTATTTGTTAGCAAATATGACCCTGGAGCACAAAAGCAGTGTTAAGTCGCTGGGGTATATTTGTAGCAATAGCCAACAATACATTGTATGGGTCAAAATTATAGATTTTTCTTTTATGCCAAAAATCATTAGGATATAAAGTAAAGATCATGTTCCATGAAGATATTATGTAAATTTCCTACCGTAAATATATCAAAACTTAATTTTTGATTAGTAATATGCATTGCTAAGAACTTCATTTGAACAACTTTAAAGATGATTTTCTCAATATTTAGATTTTTTTGCACGCTCAGATTCCAGATTTTCAAATAGTTGTATCTCAGCCAAATATTGTCCGATCCTAACAAACCATACATCAATGGAAAGCTTATTTATTCAGCTTATTTATATATCATGTATAAATCTCCATTTCGACCCTTATGACAGGTTTTGTGGTCCAGGGTCACAAATAGTAAAGAATTCCTAATATTTCTAATACCACATTAAGAATACCTCTCCCCCACCGAATACAGAATCGAAACCGTGACCCCAAAACCACAATACGTACCGTGAGAAACTTGAACCGTTACACCCCTATTGTCCAAGCAAGAGTTGCTCACGTCACAGAGACATATTATGGTGCAACACTGCATGCAAATTCATTCTGACATCGGAAAAAGGCATTTTTTCTCAATGCATTTCTATTTGGGAAACACGTAACACATAAATCAAGAGCAAGCCTGTGACTCTCACCGAACTACAGGCTCGGGAATCGGTTCCACATTGGCTGGCACCTGAACACCCTTCTCCCATTCCTGCCTCCAGGGGTCGGAGAGGAAATAAAACTCCTCTGGGCTCAGTTGTGCCGAATCAGGCAACTTCATGGCTGTAATAAAATCGGTCCGAAACACCTGAAAGAACAGAACATTGGCAGCATTCAACATGAAAAAGCCCTTCTCACCTTGGTGACATTTTCACTGGCGCAGAGGCATGAACGCAAGAGTTTGCTATGTCTTAGAAAGCAATTTTTGTGCCAAAATGCAAAAACACTCAAAATATGTATGAACACACAGTATGAAACATTAAGATCTCATCACAGAAGACCAACAAACAACTGCTTTTAAAAGTTAAATTGTAAAATGTTTAAATTTTTTCAAGTGGGTGACTTACCAAGAAAAAACATAGGGTGTTATGTGAGTTTATCCAGCGTTTTGTGAAAAGTGCAGTCCAAATGTGGTTTTAAATCAGACACATATTTAATATCTAGACATCTGACCTACAGCTAAACACATATATCCGATTCCTATTGGAAGCCCAAGCCACTACAAGGTGAAGGAGACACATTTACCAACAAGGATAAGTTTCCTTAATGTTGTATTAAATCAGCAAATTTCAACCTTCCATATTATTGACTCTCAGGTATATTTTACCAGCATTATTTTTTTCCTTGAGAAAATTTGCCATGTCCTGTACCTGATATATTTCCAAAATAATCGAATCGCAAGCTTGTGAAGGATAATGGAATCGAATGGTGAAATCTGTGTCCAAACGCAGCCCTATGAAACAGTATTTCTCACCTCAGACGGTTTCTTCTGCTCATGGCGTACCCATGTGCTGCTGGTCCCTGTGTTCTTTGAAGACCGTGACCAGGTGGTCACATGACCTGCAAGAGATTGAAGGCTCATAAGCTATGTTTCCATCCAAAGATGCGAATTTAACTTATGTGCAAAACTGGAATATTGCATAAAGCATATGCGAATAAAGCATCGTTTCCATCCAACCAGTCAAAGAGAACAAAATCGTCACTTCCTGATAAACTGCCACTAAATATCTAGGAGAAGCCACTGAATATAATAATTTTCATATGTAATAATTTACTTGCGCTACAGAGAGAGCAGACGTAATGCGGTCATTGCTTTTAGAGGTGGATGCTGCTGTTTGGGAACGCAGTCGTGTGAGACAGTAATTATACAGAAATACTTTGACGACAGACTTTGCTCAGGCATTTCAGAACGACCAAAACAACATATAGATGCTGTGAACAAGATCTGTCCGCTGCTAGTCAAGTTATCCCATCTCATAGCGCAATGTCACATGACTTTTTCAATGCGCATGGTGCAATTTATTCGTTGTGTTTCCATCGTAGTTTATGCACATTTTTTCTTATCGGATAAAAAGTTTATCCTACTCAGTTGTGTGCATAAGTTTGTGTGCATCTTGGCGTTCCCATCCAGCGTTTTTTTATGCGATAATCCAAAATGCGCATAAAAATAGGTGGATGGAAACATAGCTATAGGTGAACTTTTACTCGTCCTCATGCTCTTCCAAACCTGTATGACTTTAGTTATGGGTCTGGAATGGAAGCAAACGATGTGGGCAAAATTTGGGGGTGGAAAAAAAATGAATAAACTTTAGACAATCCTAAATAAACATCTGATAGTATAATCGACTTTATGCACGGTTGCTTCCTGGTTTTAGATAAGCCAGCTCAGTCATTTACGGTCAACTGTTAAAATCAACTGTGCTATCAGGGGAGCGCCCTTCGCTCGGTTTCTCTACATAATCCAGTCACAGTTTGAAGAAAAGTTTTGTTTGTCTAAGAGGACCAAGCGTCTATGTATACAGTTTCAGGAATGACAAACGATCTGCTAAATTGTTCTGCGAGTCATTGCTATTATTGACTGATAACTGTAGCAACGGACGGAAAGAACCACCAGACAAACCGATGTCAAAATCGAACTGTGCATTAAGTGATGCAAAATAAATTAACAAAACTACAGCAGCAACAAGTCTGCTGGCTGAATATATTTAGCAGCTTCTACAAGTAAAGATAAAACTTTTTTTTAATTAAATCTTTAAAATATTTCAAAATAATTCATGCATTATTATTTAATTGTTATGCCATTGATAATTAGCTTATTTAATCTGTAGTTAACTAGTTAAGTATTTAAATAATTAACCCTATCTAGGCTGTTGGTGTCTGGGCTTATTTATTTATTTATTTATTTTTAAATGACGTGAGACTTTGTGACTTCCTGCTCTTGCTATACTTTATACTTCAGTACAGTAAAAGTACAAAAATTTGTTATAATAGTCAGTTTATGATTGTCTTTATTTCTTGATTCTTGTTTAGATTGGTACTATTGCCTTTCACTCGACCCTTGAACTACCACTGTATGACTGTATGATGGATTGTATGAAGGATGACTGTATATACTGCCATGAGACACCTGTACCACGGTTTTGTTATTGTAAAACTATTAAAAAAAAATTTTAAATTTTTTTTTTTAATTATAGTCAGTTTATAATAAATCCAAAAGCAAGACGTGAAAAAACAAGTGAGTTGAAATAGCAGCTGAGCTAATGAGTGATCCTCTGCTGCCATCTACTGGTTATAATGCTAATTTCATGTCATTTTCATCTTAAAAGTCTTTGTTTTACGCCAGGAGACACATTTTTGGCACATTTTTTCATGTCATCTTCATTAATCAAAAGTGAATTTCACTGCACAGCTGCAGTTGAGAAATAATAAATGCATTAAAATATTATAAGTGTTTTAAAAATGTGTTCATGACTATGAAGGCAAGTTATTGATTATCAAGAATACCATTATGATGTCGTTTACGAGAGATAACGTTCGCCTAAACAGTTACGATAGTGTTTAGTTAGTTGTCAGCATTTAAATGTACAATTACATATCTAGGTGCTCTCCTGGGATTACCAGGCTCAGCATATAAAATTAAATGTCGTTAAATAACATGAAACTGTATGTTAATGCCACTAACATTATTTACGGTGTTGCAATTGTTTTGTTTCTCAGTTTCTGAACAGAACGAGGCAGGAGAGGTTTCTGTGAGCATCTCAAGAGTCTCTACCTATATACACCACAACACCAAAGTTTAAAAATTAAGATTTAATTTAAACAGGTATTTTTGACCTATAATTCAGTGAAGCTCATTAAAATGTATTGTGTGTGTATTGTGTGTCAGTTTGCACAGAATTGTAAGCTGTTGATTAATTGTTGCATTAACCCTATAAAGCCTACTGTCTCATATTTGATAAGCACATCTCAAAGGCCTCTAAAATGATCAAAACTCTGCTAATAAACCTGTTGCACACAATCTACTACATGCCTTCTGGTTGAGTTTCATGCTTTTTCCATATAACTGTGCAAAAGTCCACCTGCTTCAAGTTTTATCAAGTAAACATAAGAATATCTCCGTTAGTAATTTTTGAAGATGAACACTTACTAGACTAAATAAACCCAGGTTTATTTGATTCTCCATAAATCACTTTTTAGAAAAATCAGTGAGTCTCAAATATGATCACCAGGGTTTTGAGGAATGTTTATTTGTTCATCTGTCAATCATCATTTGATTGCAATGCATTATGTTTTGATCTTAAAACTAAGCATTAAATATCATCTTACTAAGACATATTATTGGCAGATACATAGTGACAGATGATATTTATATGCATTTTATGTAAGTATCTGCAATACTGTTATAGAGATCTCATTTCATGTTCTTGTCCATATTTCCGTGAGAATGAGCTCCATATTCTCACTGTTTACTACTTTTTTTAGACTTCATCTTGATCTAAAAAGATTTTATCCAGTGGTGAGAAGCCGTGTGTCTGTGTTTATCACTCACTGTCGGTGGTGTCAGAGTCGTTGCTGCTGGTGGAGTATTTCCTCCTCTTCATCTCACTCTCCATCTGTCGGCAAAGAAGGGATGAACAATTAGCAGACTCTGAAAAGATGGCAGAAACGCATGCAGAAAGCACAGTGTGAAAGTAAGTGTGCTGGTGGAAATGTGTCAAAGACGGTAGAGGAAACACTTCATGTGGCCATAAAACGGGGCTTTTCCCTTTTATGCGGGTCTCTTCCTGTCGCCTCTCAACCCAATCTACACTTTACACGAGAGTGAAAACCCCATTCGACGATGCTGCTGACGGATCCGCTGCCTTCACTCCACATCGGGGTGATTTGGGGAAATAATCTAACTGCAATATTCCTGATAAATATTGTGATTCAAATTTTAAAAAAGTTTGCCATGCTTGTTTGTAGGCATGTATCAGTACGGAAAAAAAACTATCGCGATTTCTTTGATCAATTTTGCGATTTCAATTTTAATCACGATTTTGACAAACACAGACATACTTTACAGTCATTAATGCATTCAGTGTGAATTTGAAACATATTTCCAAAAGAAAACCAATTAGAGCTTTATCAAAAAGCTGTAACGTGTCTCTAGAACAGACATAAGGCAAAATAATCACTAAGTAAAGGTGTAACAAAATATCTCTAGAATAGACATATGGCAGAAAAAAAAAATCCCGTGCCCAGGGATTTTTTTGTTTTTGCCATGCATTGGTCATAGAGCTCTTTGTGGCGTTGCCTCAGATGTTGAACTAGATGTGTTGCGCCAAGTTCACACGTACTCCGTCTGCAGTGCATATACAGTATGTGTATGCGGTGCAGAAGCAGCACGGACTCATTTTGCTTTCGCACAGGACGCGTTTGCAGTCCGCTCCTGATCCGCGGCTGTTTACCACAAACACAACATTTATCCTATACTTTGAAAGCTGTTCGGACACGGCTGTGCTCGAGACGGAACGGAACGCGGAAAGTGAAGTATACCCGGGCCTATAGATTCCGTGCGGAAACGATCGCAGCACTGCTGCAGACGCACCGGCTACATACATATAGCCATATTGATACATGGAAGTCAATGTCTACTAACTGTTTGGTTACCAACATTCTTCAGAAAATCTTGAGGGTGAGGAAATTAAGACAGAATTTTTATTTTTGGATGAACTATCCCTTTAAGAGCTGCAGATGACACTGTTATTTTAACAACAGTGGCAGAAACACAGTGAGCAGCGAAATAGATTGATACATTCGCTAAAAACACCACCGAAAGCGAGAATGCAGAAATACAATAATATTTATCTGTCATACATATATGAATCTGACCGTTCAAATAGACCAAGGTTTGTGACAAGACTTTTTTTTTCATCTACATTTAGCATTATTAATCAGTTCAGAGCATAATTTCAGAATAAACAATGTTATAACTGGGGAAATTATTTGTAGATAGCAAGGACAGACAACTACAACTTAGCAACGTATCAACTGCATGTGCTTTACAGTCTTACCCGTTTAAACATTCAAGCGCAAGAAGACGTGAAAGAAAACTCAATACAGTCCTCGCACACTCTGAGAGACTGTTTTCTGTGTGCTCACACCCAAAGCACGCGCACGTAAAAACGCCTCTGAAACTACAGAAATTAGTTGTTTTGCGTCTTATTGCGCATAAATGGCCAAATACATACAATGCCTGTCAACACAAATTTACGTAAACACAGTCAGTTTATATTAAACACTAGGGCTGGGCAAAAAAAAATCGATTTTTCGATTAATAGTTTTTTTTAAATGACATCGATTCGATATCGATTCTCAAAAGCCGCAAATCGATCTTTTCCGGGATTTATTTCAGCACATTTAAAACAAGATCTGATTAACGTGAATCTTATCATTAGTCTTCTCCACTAGATGTCACCCTTATTTACCTTGCACGATGTTACAACAGAAAGCCTGTCATTCATTCAGCGCTTATCATGGCCATACGCATGATTCGCAAAACTATATTCACTGAATGTAATTTTTTACAAAATCGAGAATCGAATCGAATCGAGAGCTTGCGAATCGAAATCGACTCGAATCGGGACATCTGAATCGATACCCAGCCCTATTAAACACAGTCGGTATAAAGGCTATTAAGTGAATGTAAACAGTTGAGAAGCAAAATGCACGTGTAACAGTTTATTAGATCTGTGCATGAGGTCTTAAAGAGACAGCAGCCTAATAGGGCTGTCAAAAAAAATCGAATGTAAAATATTAGTCAAATTTAAAATAAAAATCCACATTCGAATGCAAAAACGTTGCATTCGAATTTTAGGTGTGCG